TTATTTAAATATTTAAATATCCGAAATATTTATTTAAATATTTAAATATCCGAAATATTTATTTAAATATTTAAATATCCTACGTTAACATATTTATTTTAAGAAAAAATTTATTGTAAATATTTTAAATAAATTGTAAAAACGAAAATCATTTTTATATATTAGTAAAAGATTAATTTTTTTTTAATTTAGAAGGATAAAATTGGGATTTAGAAATATGAAAGGTTATTGGGACAAACAATCATAGGTAGAAGGTTAATTTACAAAACGCTAATTCAAACCGAGTCAATTTAGCAAATTTCCCAAAAAAAAAAAAAAAGCTTATCAATGTGATTTGTCCACATTTTATAATGGTTTTCCGGTTTCACCAATACAACCAGACCAATCCCGGTTAAACAACGCCAACGCGGTATAAAATAATTCGATAAATAAAACGCGGTTGCGTTTGGAGACAAGCTTCATACGTTTGCAAACTGCTAATCTACTCAAATAAACATTTGGCAGAATTTATATTTAAATAGATATCCAATATTATTTTTTCCTCTTAATAATGTGCATTCAACTAAAATATAATCTGGATTGCGATACAATGACTAGTCTGAATTATTTATTTGATCATGAACATGATCCCGTGTCTCTACAAGATTAGATGCAAAATGTTTGAGAATTTGGTGGTTTAACTGTAAGGAAAACAATGGTAAAAAATGTATAATGATATAAAAATGTTTATTTTGTTTAACATATGATTAAAATATGGTACTGAGTTGCTTACTTGCGAATGAAGGAAGCATCATGAGAGTTCTCTATTAATATAAAAATGGTATTTTAGTTGCTTAAAATATTGGGGATGTAAATTTCTACGAAATGATCAAATTTGTTTTAAATATTGTTTCATTTGTTTTTCTTTGACATTAGTCGTTTCCTCCTATATAAGCATCCCCAAAGTACAAAACACCTTTTTTAGCTTTTGGTCATTTACAAACCGACCAGACACAAAAGGTTTCTCTTGTCTTTTGATGCTCAAAATAATGGTATGGACAACAACAAAAACAATCAGGTTTTTATCAGTTTTGAGGTTGAAGATTCATCAGTCTCCTCTTTCATCAGCTACCTCATTGCTGCTTTCAAACGGCAAGGAATCTTTGCGTTCTTTGACAGTAAAAGCAGCCATGTTGAAGCTGGAGAGAGGGAGGGCGAAGAGGAACGATTCTCCAAATTAAAGGTCTTCGTGGTGGTTTTCTCCAAAAACTATGCGTCTCATATACCGTGCTTGGAAAAGCAAATATACGCATGCCGTAACAATGACGACTTTGTGGTGGTTCCGGTGTTCTATCATGTCAGTAAATCGTCCCTGAAGCAACATATGCGCAATTTTGGTGACGAGTTTAAGGCGGTCCAAAGAGCGAAGCCTAAGTTGCGAGGAGGCCATGAATATGATGGTGAACGAAGGTAACTGTAAATATTACAAATTGCCCGATGTTTTTTTTTTATATAAACAAACTAGTTTTAGGGCTTATTAGTATTACTAAATAAAGTATAGTTCGAAGAGAACTAATTTCTTCCCTCTAAAACTTAAAACAATTAAACCACATGATATCAAATAAAACAGTTAATCTCCGTTGTTGTAAACAAGTAATTGTTTTTCAAATATAGATATAAGTATTTATAGTCTCATGCCAAATGCGAAATTATTTTTGTTGTGTACATTTTCAACCCAGCATGAATGAATTATCCGTTCTCGAAAAAATGTGTTCTGCTTTGGTTCTTGAGT